GCTAATCAGATGGGCCTTGGGATCACCGGCCCCATTGTACACCAAGTTGCCCGGCGGCCTGCAGTCCCGGGGAATCTCGACGCTCATCACCCGGGGGGTGAAGGGTGATGTGAGAGAGAAAGAGAGCGTGGCCGAGCCGGCGTCCGTCCGCCTGTTCATCTCGGCAATCTGCCGCTCCATTGCTTCCAGCCTTGCGTCCTGTGCGGCCCTTCCGGGGGACACAGGGGGCGCGGCTTCGAGGACAGCATTTTGCTGAGCGGCCACAGCACCGTGCGGCCGCCTGAGGATCTGTGCCCCTCGCCGCTGGAATCGTCGTCCAGCGGTGTTGATCCTTGGGGTTTCGTCTCCCCGCGAGACTTGGCGGGGAACTGATGGCGTGTGCGCCCTGAAAGCAGCGATGCTGTCCTTGGTTCGCCCTCCCGTTCCACGGGAGCCTGAACCTCCACCTAGCCGTTCATGGACTGAGGGCCGGTGGTCGCTGGACCCTGTCGTATCATCGTACGACTGCATACGGCGGATGGGAGAGAGGGGTGTTCGCTGGGTGCTTGCAGAGTACACCTGCTCTTGAGCCTCCCGTTCGTCTGCCAAACGGCGCATGGTGTCGGCAAGTTCCCGCATGAGGCGGGGATCCTGCCTGGCCTCAAGGGGAATGAGGTCAGTGATACCCCCGTTTCCCCCGGAGGTCCAGATCGTTGCGGACAGCTCCGAGTTCTGGCCGCGATTCCGGCGGCTTGACTCCAGACGTTCGGAGAGGTCGCGCTGGTTGTTGCTTCCTGACATCGTGTTTGCTGTAGGTAGATTTAGTAGCTGTTTGGGAGAGTTTCTGGAAACTTTTTGTTCAGTTTCCCACAGACGGCGCCAGTGTTGAGGTTTGTTCCTTCAACCTTCAGGCCCAACACGTAAGCCCAAAGATTTCGAGTGGAGTGAGTGTATGTATATCTAGCCCAACAATTATCAGATGGATCAGGAGAACAGAGGAAATAGCAGGCAATGTAAATAGGTATTATTAACTTCGTAATAACTCCCCTAAGTACAATCTACTTGCTAAAAGAAGGCACGTCGGTCGTTCGTCTTACGAGGTAGTGCAGACGCTACCGGTCAGGATGCTATAGCTAGAATGCTAAGAATAGAAAGTTGTCAACCCTTTACAATGAAATAAATGCTTCTATTTATACCCGCCAATGGGCAGGTGGCTATGCTGACGTGGAAGCCTGTGGACCGCTTGTGTCCCAACCACCAAATCTTCAGCATTAAATGCACTTCCCGCCAGAATCTAGGTTTCCCGCCTAAACAATGGGGACGTTCGTCCGCCTGGGAAGCGAGCTGGATCGCTCCAAGTGATCCTCAAGAGGTTTCGGCTGTTCGTCTCCTGGCCTTTGTGGATCTTCTCCATGTGGACTGGATTTCCTCGGATGACTACAGGCTTGCCATGGGGACGTTCGTCGTCATCCCCTGGTAGCCCGTGGTCCTGCTCCTTGTCCCTGCATAGACGTTCGTCGGGATGAGCCGCTGGGCCTGAACTCCCAACCCCAGACGTTCGTCCCTCCCCCAGGGATATGGGCCTGCGGGCTGGCCTTGTGGTCTGACTGGACGTACGTCTGATCCAGGAATTTACTCAACTTCAAATCCTCAAATAAAAATAAAGTAATATAAATCACTTTATTATAACACTGAAATAAAGTAACAAAATATTATCTAGCTAGAAGCCGCCAAGGCCGTTCCCGTTAACTCATCTTGGCACACGTTCCACCTCCTCGTCATCTTCCTAGGCCATGGCCTTACCCTTAGTATCTGTACATGCGAGGAAAGAAAACTGATAAGCTTTACACTTAGTAAGTCACTATGGATCCACAAAAATATGTGAGAAGTCTATGCTAATTTATTAATGGATAAATTTATTCTATAAGCATGCACTGAACAAATAACTAACAAATAACTTCTCAAATAAATTCTGAGAAAGATCTCAAACGAAAATATTTTCTAAAATAATTTCTCAAAACTACTGGAGAGAATGAGAGATCTCAAAATTTCTTTCTCAAAACATTTCTGTAGAACTTTCTGAAAGAGATCTCAAAACAACTTTCTGTAAAACTTTCTGAAAGAGATCTCATAAACCTTCTGTAAAACTTTCTGAAAGAGATCTCATAAACTTTCTGTAAAACTCCGTGAGTCTGTGTGGCTAATTTTACTCTATGGGCCCGTGATATGTACTCAAAGGCGCCAATCCGATAGCTCAGGGAGCGACCCACTAAACATATCAGACTCTCTGAAACTCTGATAACTCTGTGGGAACTTGTTCCCAAGTACACATCACTTAATCTTTCACTTTAAATATTAGTTCTTTTTATGGTGACGTTTGAATAAAATGACCCGACCCGCAATGACCCGCCCTGGCCCGAGACATTTGGGGCGGGTCCGGCCTGCCCCGTCTCGCAAGTGGGGCGGGTCCACCCTGCCCCACCAATACAATGGGGCTGGTCTGGGTATTAGTATTGACCCGTGCCACCCCAACCCGCCACGACCCGACCCGCTCAATATATAAGTATACATACTTTTTCTTAAATTATTCTAAAAATATACTTCAGCATACATACTCCCTCTGTCCCATTGGACTTGCCAACTTTCCCTTTTTGATTGTCCCAAAAAACTTTGCCAGTTTCCTATTAAAATAACTAATTTGTGGTTCTACACATTTCTCTTTCCTCTGCACAAATCTCAACCACACAATTTTTACTATTCTTATTTCTCACCTACTTTGCACTTGGCAAAGTCCACCGGGACGGAGGTAGTATGTGTTTATACAATAAATCATAAATTCTTTGATCTTATGATATATATATATATATATATATTAGAATGAGATGAACGACGGATTATCAACGTCTTCTTTATATATAGCATTTGAATACATATATTCAGTTATTAATATAATTAAATAGATTAACTATTCAAGTCTGAGTAATTTTCCTTCATTTTTGAAATTTTTAGCGTCTCATTAATTTGATTTGATATATTAATTTTTAATTATTATTTAGAGATAAACTTTATGTAGATTCAATTGGTAACAACTTCCCACAAATAAAAATACATACTAGCTAATCAGGTTACGACGGAGCAAGGCGGGGCGGATCATGGGTCAACATGAGTTAAACGTGGTTCAGCAAGTAAATGTTACTGACCTAATCCATAGGGGCAACTAGGGTTTTCTTTCTTATTGAGGTGATGATAAATACAATACAATTGTTTATAAGTTCAGGAGTCAATATATATAGGCAAACAATTAGGACCGACTGCACATCTAGCTAGGGCCGGCTGCACATCTAGCTAGGACCGGCTGCAGTGCAATCTAGGGCCGACTATTGCTCGTTTATTTGGATCCCAGATCTGAGTGGGCCGAAGATTAGTTATTTTTGGCTCGAGAATATAATGGAATAAAGCAAAATGACTCACTAAACTGTCTGCGCTTCTATGTTATGAAGCACCAGTCAGTCCATGCAATTTTGGACTCGATTTTCGCTATGAGTCTTCCGGAAACAGTCTTTTGGTGCTTTTAGTACAAGGGTAAGACTGCGTACATCCGACCCCCCTTAACCCATCGCACGTGGGAGCCTTTGTGGCACTGGGGTAAATGAAAATGAAAATAAAAAATCTGAGTGGGCCGAAGCCTACACCCCAACCGAAACATCACACACACACAAAAACTAGAAAAGTTTAAAGTCTAAAGTGAGCATCCCTTCATTTATAGAATATCTTTAACCAAAAAAGCATACAAAACAACAAAAAGAGGGAGTCCGGTAACATGTTCCACAATTACAAGAAAGGAGTATGGAATGAATACTCAAAAGCTATTCAAAATCTTGGTAAGCAAACTACCTACAGATACGAAATAGTTTGTCATGCAAATACAAATTAGTAGAAAGATTGAAATTCACCAGAAAGTCATGCTTATAAATGGAGAAACAGATGCACTGAATTTCAAAATATAGAGGCCCGACTAATTGCAAAACCTGAATAACTGAGCACCTTTTAGATAACAGAAGAGTTTGGTTTATAGAAATAATAACAAAGTACTCCCTCCGTTCTTTTTTATTAGTCCTTCTTTCCTTTTTGGGGCGTTTTTTTTATTTGTCTCCTTTCCTTTTAAGGAAAGTTTTTGAGAAAATACCCCCATTTTTATTACTTTTACCCCACTTGCTTTTTACAAACTACTTTCTCTTTCCTACTTTACCATCACTTTACTCTTCTTAATACACTCTCTTTCCCACTTTATCATCATTTTACTCTTTTTAATATATCATCTTTCCTACTTTATCATTTACCCTACACACTCTATACTTACCCTACTACTTTATTATTAAATCTCGTGCCAAACCCTAAGGGGACTAATATTAAAGAACGGAGGTAGTAATATGAGAGATAAAACAATATAAAACTAATGATTCACATTTTAAAATATGTATTAAAAACCTTTTAAAAATGAAATTAAATACTTTTTGAATGTCGTGACAAAGAATTAGAGTAAATCTATTATTTGAGATTGTTTTGTTGTCAAACGAAGGTTGTTATATTTGGGCATGGGCTAAAAAGAAAAGGAAAATGCTAGGGGTACACAAGTTGTACACAACTTGTACACACAATGTCGGTCACAGACATTTGGTACGGAGTTGCCTGTGACCACAGACAAGAGTTATCTGTGTACACAGACAAATTTTGTCTGTTTCCACAGACATTTACTTTTTCGTAAAAAGTACACTGAGAGCCGCTTGACACTGACAAATACTTTTTACAAAAAAGTAAATGTCTGTGGAAACAGACAAAATTTGTCTGTGTACATAGACAACTCTTGTCTGTGGTCACAGGCAACTCCGTACCAAATGTCTGTGACCGACATTGTGTGTACAAGTTGTGTACAACTTGTGTAACCCTAGCATTTTCCAAAAAGAAAATCAACTTAAATTTCGAAAAATAAAGAAAATATTTTGTCGGTATGTAAACATTTTTGAAAAGATGAATAAAATTATAAGTTTTTTTGCCATATCCACCCCTACTTTGCTAGTTAAGTGATCATAATATTTCTTCTCCGAAATCATGATAGCCCTAGGGTTTCCTAAATCAAGGTGCCCGGAAGCTCCTCAGTCCTCACATATGTCGTCTCTATTACTTACCGTACCATAGCTGCAGTTTTCCACTAGGATCATAATTGAGTCCTTTTACATTTGAGAGAGAAACATATGGTTTTGATCGGTGAGGGCCCTACGGATCAGAGGTTGCCTCCCGGATTTAGATTCCACCCGACTGACGAGGAGTTGGTTCTGTACTACCTGAAGAGAAAAGTCTGCCGCCGACGGCTTCTTCTTGATGTCATCGGCGAGACTGACGTCTACAAATGGGATCCGGAGGACCTTCCTGGTACAGTTTCCCGCCTTCGAATTTGTTTTACAATCCGCGTTTCTCTCGGTCCCATGTATTTGAGTGTTGAATGCATTTTCTTTGACGATTCCCCATGTCACATGGTTTCAACATCTGTAGAGACTTCTTTCTTTTTTATTGTTCAGAAGAGTCGTCACAGGGGCGGAGCCACTCTTTGAGGTGTGGTGTCAATTGACACCACTGAATTTTTCTTTCTCCATATATAGGTATATAAAAAAAAAATTAAAAATAATTTGACACCACTGTAAAATAAAAGTTCTATGTATAGCATAGATAATCTTTTATAAATTAACACCACCAAACTGGATCCTTGCTCCGCCCCATCTGTTCATCTTTTGAATTTGGGGGAATTTGACTTTGTAGACTTTGCACCCCATTTTGTAAAAGCTTTGACTTTGCACCCCATCATATAACATTTTGCCTATAAAAATTCGTGAATGGTGTGCAAACTCAAAGGATTATTAAGTGAAATGAGGTGCAAATTCAAAGCTTTTTGGATTATTAAGTCCAATATCATCCAAAAAGTGGGGTGTAAAGTTAAATTCTCCCTTTGAATATTCAACGTTTTTTTTTATTTCTTTCTGTCTTGTATGTTGATAATCTCCTCGGTTGATCTTTTGCATTTATATGAACTGGATCTTGTTTTGGGAACATATGTTTCTTAGTTGTGCTTTGTGATTGATTCATTTTGTTTTGTGGTAGATTGTTGTTCACTTGTTTATAGTAATCAAAGTATTGACACTAATTTATCTTTTTGGCAGTTAAGTATTAGGATCTTGATCAGGTTCAGTTAGTATTATGTTTGATATGGTGTCTGTAAGTGTATTGGTTGGCCTATGGTATTTTCTTTATAGTCCTTCCATTTTCGGTGTAAGAGATGATTCATTTTATTCGGGGTGATGTCAAATACTCAATGGCAGAAGACTCAACTACATCTTTCATAATGAAAAATGAAAGTGTCCTTCAATTTTAGCATGGTTTTCTGCATCTTGAATGTGCGCCCTTGTGCGGCGATCACAAAAATTGTGATATCATTTATATATGTACACCAAGGAGTAGTTCACTAAGTATGAATTTAAAACCTTTTTCTATATGTTTTTCATCAATAACATTACCCTCATATTAAGTCATACTCATGAATGATACTTGATGGACAAGACCTTTTATGATTGAACTTTCTTATTGTTTATGCTTTTTTATATTGTCAAAATGATTGAATGTTTTCTGCAATTTAAAAAAATCAGAGCTGTCTAAGTTAAAGACTGGTGACAGACAGTGGTTCTTCTTTAGCCCCAGGGACAGAAAGCACCCAAACAGTAGCAGAACAAATAGAGCCACTGAGCATGGCTACTGGAAAGTGACAGGGAAGGACCGCACTATCACCTGTAATTCCCGTGATGTTGGCATTAAGAAAACGCTAGTTTTTTATAAAGGCCGTTCACCTAAAGGTGAAAGAACAGATTGGGTGATGCATGAGTATACCCTGGATGAAGTGGAGTTGAGAAGATGCCAATCCTCACAGGATTACTATGTACTGTACAAGGTATTTAAAAAGAGCGGTCCTGGTCCAAAAAACGGCGAAGAATATGGTGCACCGTTTAAGGAGGAGGACTGGGCTGATGATGAATGCTTGCAAGCTGTAACTATTCATGTTGAACAGGATAAGTCTCCCGAAAAGGTTAATGATGATGGGCTGCCCGTGGTAGACGATCTTGAAGAACTCCTTAATCGTTTAGCGGGTGAGCCTCCACTAACAGAATTGAATTATTTAACAGAGAACACATCAAGTGATATGACACATTCAGGTGCACTCAAGACGCTCCTACCTGAGGTCACGGTTGGTCCAGTTACCAATGAAGGGGGGAAGGCTCAAGTAGTGGAAGAGGTTTTTCTTGAAGATTCCTTGGAGGTGAATGATCTTGATGGTCTAAGGCCCACAGGTGTCCAGAGTATGGCAATTCAACCATTTGTTTCTGTAGATGGATATAACGAACTCGACATTTACCAAGATGCGTGTATGTTTCTTCATGATATGGGGGCTACTGGAGAGGACCGGGTTAGTGGAAGAAGTGCATATCATGTGACTAATGAAATTACTAGCTCACACTTCACCGATTCTAGTGATTTTCATCCAATGGGGATTAATCCACAATTACATATAAACGCTGGTAATGATTTCAACAACCAGCCGTGGAGTCATGAACTAAGTTGTGGGATGATCAACTCCATTGAAGCAAAGCAGTGCACCATCCTCCCAATGACATCAGGTACAACAATTGATGCCAATAGCTAATAGTCTACTACTTTCTTGCTTGCTTGCAGTCTTGCACCAATGAAGTCACGTTTTCTCTATCTCTATATACTCCCTCTGTCTTAAACATTCTTGCAATTTCACTTTCATTTTCTAAGGAATTATTTTTTATTCTGATAATTTGATGTTGAGCATAAAATCTTTTCGTCATATTAATTTTTGGTTGTTGTGCTTTAATAAAACTTTTAGCGTTGTTTCTAAACACTTGCTACATATTTTTTAATATGAATACTAGTATAAGTATTTAGAGACAATTTAATTTATTCAGTCAACCTTGTAAACTGTTATTTGCAAAAGATTTTGACAGAGGGATAGGGCGTGTAAAGAGATATTAAATGCAAACCTGTAATGAGACTTGACTATAACTACTACCTCAACCTCTCCACATTTCACAACATTGTCCATGCAAGTGAGAAGAAGTTATGATGAATGATGATTTTTTTTTTTAAATATGATGAATGATGATTTATGTTTTGAAATTTCATCATATTATGATATAGAGGATGTTTTTACTTGGACTGTAATTTGCTGGTCTGGCTTCTTTGTATTTTTATAACTACCCAAGTCTGGTCGGGTCTGGTCTGATCTGGTCTAATCTGGTCTGGTCTGGGACAAATTACAGTCCAAGTAAAAACATCCAAAGTTGCAATAGAAAGGTAACCGTGTCAAGATTTTGACTTTTGGCATTTTTTTGCACAAATTCATGATGTTTAGACATTAGCATGTCCATGTCACTGATTGCTATGGCTTATGGTGGTGAAGATAATGATGCTTTAAATACAAAACCGTTTTCCCATTCCTTGAGTTTAATAGTGTAGAAATCATTGCCATCTTTCAAAGCGTTGAACCAATGGTAGTTTGAGTCACAGCTTCACGAGTGGTTTACTGCTAATGTATAATAATACTGTAATGTAATACGATATATTTTGCTGTTTTCACGAATTTTGGTGGCTATAGGTGTGGTATATGGTACTCATTTGGAAAGTCATGCTGTGGGTGCAAATTTGAGCCAGAATACTACTACTCCTGCTACTACTCCTACTACTACACAGGGTGATACTACTACTACTACCACACAGGATGATGCTTCAAAGCACTCCAGCTTCTCATCTGCTCTATGGGCATTTATGGAATCTATACCAACTACTCATGCTTCAGCTGCAGAAAGTGATCCGGCGAGCAAGGCCTTCGAGCTAGTGCCTAGCTTCCAAAGACTCAGACTGAATGCCATTAATATTGCTGCAGCAGTTAGCAATGCATCAGCAGTTTCAGAAAGATGTTGCGCTGTCAGTTACAATAATGGATTTTGTAGGTTATTTTGCTTTTCTCTACTTGGAGTGTGCTGTGCTATCTTATGGATGATATTTGTAGCAGCCTCATAGTCCATGGGGATGATATTGGTCAAAGTACATATTTTGTTCAGTCATATGAAGTGTCCTTGATATCTTAACGCGCCATGGTATGTTTTTAAATACGGAGTATGATGTTACATTGGACTATGAGCCATAGTATGAGGGAGATGATGTGTTTTCAAGATAATATGAGATGCCTTCATCATTAGCACTCTTTTAAAATGTTAGGACACATTTACTTCAAGGATTACTAAACGGTGCTCATCTAGACTTTAGGACATGTTTACGGTCTGTTTGCAACAACTTCTGCTTTAAAATAAGTGTTTTTTTTTTAATGAAATGGGGAAAAGTGATTAAATAAAAGTTGACAGTGTTTGAAAAAAAATGATTTTGAAAAGTAAAAGTTGGTAGTGTTTGGTAAAATAAGTGTTTTTTGTGTAATAGAAAAAGTAAAAGCACTTTTGACACGAAAGCCGAGAAAAATAAAAGTTGGTAGAGTTTGATAAAATAAATGTTCTTTAAGTCAAAAGCTGAGAAGTGTTTTTTTTAGAGCATTTGCAAACCAACCCTTACCTCACGAGTTACTAAATGATGATTATTAAGATTCGCGTTAATAAGTGGCGCATAAAATAAGCGATGTTGTAAGCTCATGTTTAATTCAAAGGATTTAAAATACCATTTAAAATTAAAATGTCCAAAAGACACACGCACGCACGCGCGCCCCGGACCTCCCCGGACACGTCAACAACCCGCCGTACAATACGAATAGTCAACCGCAGTCCAACACATTCATATTATACAAGGCGTCTTGAATATCATTCACACACATAACATCCATAAACAAACATAATAAGTAATTCATAACGCAGCGGAAAACATTGTTTAATACAAAAGGGCCACACAGGGCTATTCATGAGCACGCAGGCTCTATAGTAAAATATCCATGAGCAAATTTATTAATGTTTCAAATAGAATGGAGGAAGCACGAACCAAGTCTTCTCTCCGAGGAAGTACTCCCTCCATCCTATAAACAAGTTCTCGTTGTTTACGAGGTTTGACTGATTAAAAAGCAACTCGATCCCTGTTCACACTTAGATTATTTTTAGTAAATAAAATTACATATTCAGATCTTCATTAGAATGGCTACAAAGCCTGATCGAGAAAATTTAAGTTTGATAAAAATGTGATATATAAAGTAAAAGATTAAGAGTGATTTAAGTTGACCACTAGAATAGTGAATAGGAAATTGATTCCGGGACGGAGGTAGTATATGATATAATATATGGGGGTCACCTCGTATGTGTACCCATACACCTAACCCTGTACCCCCATCTCTACCCCTACCCCACACCCTGCCACCACACCCTGCCACCCCCCAATTCCTTGACCCCTATCTACCCCTACCTTTACCACGACCTTACCTTCTACCCCTACTCCCTTACAACCCTCACCCCATACCCTACCCCTACCCTACTCATAGAGGTGGTGTCGGGGTGGGGTCAAGGTGGTATGGCTTACACTGGTAGGGTTCGGGGTAGGGTGGTAAAGGGCAAGAGAAGGGGGTAGTGGTGGGGTCGAGGGAGGGGCAAGTGGTAGGGATAAAGGGGTAGGGTCGGCGTACGAGGAGTGGGGTCAGGGTGGGGTAAGGGGTTATGGTTGGGGGTAGGGGTAAGGGGTAAGGGTGGGATCGGGGTAAGGTAGGGGTGGGTGGGTAGAAGGGTAACAATAGGGTAAGGGCAAGTGGTAAGTGTAAGGGTAAATTCGGAAACTGAAAAAACTTAAGTGCTGTTTAATTAATACATGGAGGTGGTATGCTTAGTAAGCGATGCTTTAAGCATCTCTTTCGGTTAGTAAGCAGCTTGTGTGTTTACCTCATCTGTCTTACTAACCGAACTGAGACTTTAGCAGCAAAGTAAACACCTCTCAAAATAGGTTAAGTAGCGAAGTAAACACCTCCCAAAATAGCGGCACTTTAGTGTATCAACTATTTAATTGTATCAAAGTGTTTTTGCTAATGAGTTAAGCTGCCAAAGTGTCCATGCATATATAAAACATGCATTTCCTCCCAAAACAGGAGTATGTGTTTGGTTTCCCCTAAATAGGATTGATCATTCCATTTCTACCCCTAATTCAAAATTAATATATTAACCTAATTAATTGTCCCCTGATCCCTTGCATAACTAAGGCATTTTGTTGGTGGCGGAGCAGTTGTTGCGACGACAGAAAATTCCAGCGGCGGTGTTGCCAGATTTTTGGGCAGCTCGTTAGGAAATTTTGGGAATTTTTTTCTAGCCTTCTAGGCTTATTAGCAACCTTTTCCACTAAACACGTAATTTTTTTTTCGCGCGAAAAAAAAAGAAAATAATAATAATAATAATAATAATAATAATAATAATAATAATAATAATAATAATAATAATAATAATAATAATAATAATAATAATAATAATAATAATAATAATAATAATAATAATAATAATAATAATAATAATAATAATAATAATAATAATAATAATAATAATAATAATAATAATAATAATAATAATAATAATAATAAGTAAGGTTGGAGTTACTTATCTTGTTGTATTTGTTGAAGTTTCTGTAAATGATCATTTTAGTTATTTTTCATATAATTTTTTCTTTATTTTTTCAAAAAACAAATTATAAATATAATCTTTTCATAAAGCAACATAATCAATCAATCTAGTCACTTCAGCTAGAACTTCATAAGTTTCAGTATAATCAATCGATTCAACAAATTTTAGTGTTATTAAACAGACTCATAATTAAGAAAAAATCGCCTTTACTAACACATACATTTCTTTCCAAAATAGAGATGTATATGTGTGGGTTTCCATAGATAGGACTCATCATTCAATTTCTACCCCTAATTCAATTAATTAATTAACTCAATTAATTTCCCCTAGTTTCCTTGCACAATCATGACAATCCGTTGGTGGCGGGGCACTCCATGGCGGTAGCAGAAAATTCCGGCGGTGCCCGGTTTTCTGGCTGCTCGCCATGAAATTTTTGGAATTTTTTTGCGGTGGTCGACAACAGTCGGAGGTCCAATAACATGTGACAGGTGGCGTGCAGCAATGGTAAAGCAATATGAGAGTATTGCGGTCCAATCATAAATAAAGAGTCCTATTTAAGGATGCTTAAACTAATTGATCATATTTTGGAAAAAAGATATGTTTGAGTCCTATTAGGGTAAATCTTCCTATAATTAATATTTTGATCAGATTTATACAATTTTCCTGTCGTGCTTGTCTTACTTATGAAGTTATGATGTTTTTATTTTGATCACAATATACCAGAATAAAATAGAACATCCGAGACTAGATTTGATAGTTGTAAAATACTAATGAATCAAACATTTATCAAACCAAACCAATTTAGACCAGACTTAAAAAAAATCAGACTAATCATTATTAAAAGAAATTTGTTAAAGAGTTAGACTTAGTTTTAAATTTCAATTTAATTAGAAACATGAGTATTACGAGCCCATTTGGTAACACCGTTTTTCGGCTTATCAAACTTATCAGTCAACTTTTTCACCAAACATGTAATTTTTGATTTCACGCACTGGGTTGTGTAATAATAAGAAACGGGATGTGTTAGCCGGGAATACTGTTCCGTGAACAGTAAAAAATGTTTTGATTTTATGTATTAGTGATAGATTAATTCTAGAGAGATGTGAGAGCTAGAGAGAGAAAGTGAGTAATTATATTTCTCAACCCCCTATAATTAGCCCCTTGGGGTCTATTTATAGGTAAAAATGTGGATTTGGGCCTCTAGCCTTGGGCTTAGGAGGCCCATTACAATAATCATGCCTTCTTTGGGCGAATAGGGTCACTAATGGGCTGAGTACAACACTTAGTAAATAAACTATGAAAATACATTCTGCCTGGACAAAGTCCGGACGATGCGGTCCATGGACGATGCGGTCCAGACATCGCGGCCCCTGGGCTGTGGCCTAAGGGACTTGGGTGATATCTTCTTCTTTGGACGTTGCGGGCTCCTGGCTGATGTGGGTGTCCTGCTGGTGCCTTTTGGGTCGTTGAGTATGTGGGCCATGGCGTCCAGGCCCATATACTCTATCAGGAGTCCCCCACTCTCTGAGCTGAGATGCAGACGAAGCGAAAGGGAGTAGTCCTGTCTTTACTCTTCCGCCGTAGAGGTTTTTGTTTTGATCCATTTCTTGACGTTGCGTGCCTGATGGATAGCCTACCCGGGGGGTATCTTATCCGAGGGGTTATTGCGGGAATAACTAGAGAGAAGTCAGAGCAAATAGGAGGAGAGAGAGTCGATTTTATTAAATGAACTCAGCGTGGTTTACAAGGAGAATAAGGGCTGCTATTTATAGCAGCAATAAATGCGATGAGAGTACACGTGTCAATAATCCAACGGCCGAGGGGTCACATCAATCGGGTGGCACCGGCAGTGGCATGTTCACCGCATTGAATGTGGTGGGTGGATGTGATGTCGCATTAAATGCGGTGGTTGGTTGTCTCCAAAGGGAATCTTCGATGATTGAGTCTGTTAGCCGAAGGCTCCTTGCGTAGCCGAGGGCTTCGCTGGCCGAGGGCTCTGTGTAGCCGAAGGCTTGGTTCAGTCGAAGGCTTCTCTGATGTCGAGGGCTCAACAGTACCGAAGGCTCCTGTTTTCTGTCGTTTTCTCCCAGTGGCTTCGTATGCCCAAAAAAGACCATCCTGTGAGTTTTGGAGCCTTCGGCCAAGGAGGCCGAAGGCACCCCAGTGTGTACTTTGGGCTTCTTTGAGACTTGGGCCGCTGTATTTGGGCCTCAGATGCTCTTTGGGCTCAATGGGCCTTCGTGGGGAAAGTAGAAGTCTATGGGTCGGGGGTTCCTGGGCCATATACTCCATCAGAAGTCCCTCACTCCTTTTGCCGAAAGGTATTTGAGGGAAAAGGAGTAATTGCGTTGATCCTTCTGAAGCCTTCATTGTTTCGTTGGGCGCCTTTGATTGAGCAATTGTCTTCTGCTGTCTGCCGAAGGCTTTCCTCAGTCCCTCACATGTCGAGGGTTTTCTGAGGAAAGTGTAAATAACACCTATAGGTGTTGTGATGAGGGCTGTTTCACAAGTGATTTGTGAAAATCTTTGATATCTAGCTCTCGCCGAAGGGTGCTCGATGTGCATACCCGAAGGGTTCTCCTTTGATGTCATGTGTCACTTGTGTGTGTTTTCATTTGGGAATTTTTGTTTTGTGTGATTCCCGAGAGGTGTATCCCAGTCCCCCAC